ATGGAATTTGAAGAGCAGTATGCAGTGAACGATCGTACTTCATGAGCAGAAAACACATCGGCATCAAACAACTTTTCACAAACAACATCTAATTCATCAAAGTTTGTTTATCGTGTTTTACAAGATTATGATGCATCCCAAACGTGTAGGTTTCAGAAAGCTCCAAATGGTCATAACAATACCTACTATAATGCAAAACGTGTTTAAGAAATTCCGTATCATATGGTTGCATACAAATGTGTTAGAGGTAATAGGTACTACCTCTATCTGAAGACATTTCCTTCTTGTTATTACGCCGATGAGAGTTATGGTTCAATCTACGGAAATACGCATGCTTTTTTATCACATACTGAGGAACGCAAACTAAACGTTCGGAGTAATGGGTACGCTCATGGGTCCTAAAGTTCAGAAGACCATACCTCAGGTTCAGATCTCTTCAAATCACCATTCTCAAAAATATATTCCCACATAGCCACATATAGGAGTACACGATTTTATAGTCCCACCCTCAGTTCCACTATTTTTGACTGGAAGCTCTTACGCATCTGTTAACTAGTTTTTTTTATTTTTTATACTCAACTAATTTCGGATGATGGTAAGAAATTGCATAAAATGAAAAATCTAGAAAGTTCTTGATTTTCTACAATACATATATACGGTGATATTTGTTGCGCTTTAGGTCCCCTATCATGCTTTGGAAGGAATGCGGCGATTTACCTGTAACCCTGCATATGTAGATACATTATTATAGCATATTGTTAGGACAAATCCGGCATCCTTGCGACATAAAAGTCTTCTATTATGAGTCCGACCACAACCAGTGGCAAGCGTGTTTACTACTTAATCGCTCTGGAACAGCAAAGCCGTCAGTTGCTATCAATTCTTGAAATGCGTCTCCTTTGCCAGCCGAATTTTCCAGTTTCTGTAATTAAAACGTATTAATTCATATTATACTCATCATAACGTGATGAAATTGTTTGTCGCTTCCTCTGTACAGTTACTATATTCTCTGATGACTTCACAAAAAATAATTTTACTTCGCGTTATATGCAAAAATACAAACATCAATTTCAGCCGCAATATCGCCCATCGCAAACTGGTGTATTTGCACATAAATACGAATTAATAATAGATGACGTAGCCGAACACAAAAAATAAACAACGACGGCTAAAAAATACATTTTGTCGTTTTGCTGCAAGCGTGAACTACTCGGCAGCTAACAATTTCGTTTATACAACAATAAATTGAAAAAACGGCTTGGCTGCGTTGTGTACCGTTAGTGCTTTTATTTGGTAACATGCACTAAAACAATAGCTACACAAAACATCTGGAACCTTACTTATTTTTAATGCACAATGGCGACAATTCAACTCTACCTGATGTTTGCTTTGTCCCCTGAAAGTACTGTTCAGCTCTAAGGCTGAATCCTGTGGAGCTTACATTTCAGTAGCGGTATGTTTATTAGACGCTCATTATGTATGAGTATATGGTAGCACCAAGATTGGACGTAGTTATATTTCAAAATACCATATACTCAGTGACATTAAAAGTGTTACGCAGAAAAAAAATAATGTCAACTTGATTTTTTGGCAATGAGGTAGTCTTACATCAAGAGTGGAATGATAACATTCTCTCGAAATTTTATTATTAATAACGTATTGGACGACCCCGCAGCTGAATACACTCCTACGTCTAGGCATCGACAAAATGAGATGATCGATGTCTGGTAGTGGCACCTCATTCCAGGCAACTCAAACTTCATGGATCAGCTGTGGCAGAGTCTGTGGCAGATGGTACAAAGTGGATAGTCTCGTCACCATCATATCCCACATGTTCGATGGGATTTAAACCTGTTGAACAGGATGGCCACGGCAAAGCATTACCGCCTGCCTATTGAAGAAAGTCCGTAGTACGTCGAGCAATATGGGAGCGTGCGTTGTCTTCACGAAAAAGGACGTGTGGACGGCCCTCTAGATACGGCAGTAAAGTGGTCTTTAGGACATCATCAACATAGCGCGCAGAGGTCATATAAGTCGTAGTATATAATCAAACCCCGCTAACTCCACTTTATCCAAACATGATATTTTCTGCCGATTCTATAGGAAATGTTCCAAGAAATATACCTGTATAAATATTATCCTTCTAAGCCCGCTAACACAAGTCTATATATGAGCTGAAAGCTTACGTTTAGTTTCAAAACCCGCTAACTCCATGCCAATATTACAATCAAAGCCCGCCAAATCCATTTTGACCTATGGCGATGCACTAGTCGATACGGGCACAGGTTTATGCGTGCCAGTTCATGTTTAGATATTTAACGTGTACGATAATAATTATTGCTTTCGGTGGTTTTCATAAGTGTCTTAAATAAAACCTGGACGAATACAATAAGCTGTACTTTGTTCAAAATAAATATAATTAAGCTAGAGCGTTTTCTGAATAAAGAATCTCTGTTCGCAAACATTTTTTTTATATCAAATGATTTCGTTAAATTTATAAAATATAGTTTTTGTTGTTTAAAATAAACATAATTAATTTTAAGAACCGTTGTTTTTGTTTATATAGTTAAATAAGTTCAGAAAATGATTAAAGAAGATGTGTTATTTTCGTATTTAAAAAACTAAGTAACAATCAAAACCCGCTATATCCATTTTTCACAATCAAAAGCCGCTAACTCAAAACAAACTTGAGGAAATGTTTGATTTTTTTTTGCCAGACTGAATACCTTTTTTTAGAAGACGTAAATAAGAAATATTTGGTAGAGAAATATCAAAAATAATTTAGCTAACCGTTTTTGTCAGTTACTGAAAAATTTTACATTTTGGAGTTAGCCGGGGTTTGATTCCATAAGCCTCATATTGCCTTGAACAAAGACAATGCGTGATCGGCTACCATAGGCAATAGCCCCCTAAAAACCATTACTCCAACAGTTCTGTGGACATGCCTCTCAGCAGCAAATCCAATATCACGCCGTTCTCCACAGCGGCACAGAATCGCGATTCGTCGCTGAAGATGACATTAAGCCATTTTGCCTCCGAATGTTGCAGTTCTCTGCTCTAGTTCAAACATGTACGACAGTGGTCCGAAGTCATAGGAAGCATTAACCGTGGATAACAGGTCTATCTTCTTCTCCAAACATTGGTCAGCGATCTGACGCGTAGTAGCAAAATGGTTTCGTAGGTCTACGAGTAGTTGTCTGAAGCGCCTGTCTTGACGCTCTGTGGTACACCTTCAGTGGAACCAATATCTCGATAGGCATTAATTCTACCCCTGTCAAAGTCGCCAACATGATGATAACTTGGACGTCTTCGAACTAGATGCATTTTGTTATGCTTCACACTAGTAAATGAAAGGGCAATGACTAAACATATCTGTACTACTCAGCTTTCAGAAACTTCTTTCTTCACAAAAACTAAGACATAACATTTTAACAAAGGTAAACAAAAGCAAAGATGAAACGTTGACATTGTCGCCACAGCATGCTTTAAATATACTCATTATGTTGCCAATAAAACAAGTTAATAAATTATTTTTTTCTGGGTGTAACACTTCTTATGTCACTGAGTATGTATATGTTTTAAGATGTTGAAATTGCCTTAATAAATCTTAGCTAAAAATAAAAGTGATGATTTTATATTCACCTCATAACCAAGAAGTATTTTATTGTCTAAATATACTGGATAGCACAACTACAGCTCCACCAACAATTTTCGTTTTAACTTTAGCTGGTTTTAATGTAACTTTATATAACTTCAATCAGGAAGAATTTGTTCTTTAATCAATTTAAACAAGCTCTATTTTTATTATTTTTCTTTGCCGAGAGAAATAAGGTCCAAAGTTGTTGATGGCGTTATAGTTATGCTCTCGGGTTTATATTAGGAACCTTTTCACAAAATATGTAATTCATGTCCTTGAATCATTATTAAATGTCATATAAAAGGAGATGATTTATATTGAGTATTAACTCTTAGGATACGTAAACTTAAATCCGGGTGTTCTTAGCGTGAAGCATAATATGATATTATCTGAAAGCTTGGGCTTATAGTATGGGGGCAATTCGGCTAAAATATGTGCAGTCATCGAACGCTTTTAAAAGCAATGTATGGAAATCTATTATTTACCTTTGTTAAAAAATTGACTTAATACCTCTAACATTTGGCATACGTCCGAGAAGATGATGCAACCACTGTCCTGTTGTTCATTCTTTCACAATAAATGGCATCTAGAGGATTTCGTCAGTTTTATGTTACTGGACGTAAACATGTTTTTATTTTATTCCATAAGGTACTATTTTGTCATGCTTCTGCTCGGTGATTAGAGTTTTGCAGTTTCGTTTCAAAAATGCATAATACGTAATACATGTAAAACTGTAAAAATGAAAAAATCCTACGTAGTCACACATTTTGTATTTAAATATTATTATTAGTATTATTTTTATTATTATTAGTATTATTATTATTATTATTATTATTATTATTATTAATAATATTATTATTATTATTATTATTATTACTATTGATCTAAAGCTGAGGTGTCATGTAGAGGGGCACCGTCATGACAAAGTAACGCGTGTTATGGTCGATCCATGGGTAAATTATTTGAATGCCATTTAAGCCCGACTCTCAAAGACTGAAGCATTTTCTAATTTGTGATGTGATAAAATAATCATGTGACAATATTATTATTCTTTTTTCTAAATGACTAAGGTTTGGCAACGTCAATGAATAACATATTCGTTTTTGGAATCATAATTTTGAACTATATTCACCTTTGCAAAAATTCCATAAGGTTCATAAAAATTGAAATTAATGTTTGAGAACAAGGGACGGAACGTTCCACCTCAAATAATGGAAACAATAATCAAAAGTTTTTGAAATATGAAATACCAAAATCCAAGCGTATTGGTCTAGCAGTTACATCATCATGAGGAAGACCCTAAATGAACAAATGATTAATTTAAGAAATTTAATTTAATCAACTTATATCTCTGTCCTTTCAGATGGGCCACATGGATGGCCTGGATATGCTGGACCCTATCTCAACCTCCTCGATGACGACATTGACGCCCATGTCCGAGACGCCACCCAGCCACATGTCCTCATACGGTATGAACCACATGATGAACCACCACCACCACCATCATCATCACCATGGAGGCGGCCCATTGGGTGGGCACGCGGGGGGTGGGCACCCAGGGGCGGCACATCATGCCACACACCCAGCCGCACACCATCCTGCAATGGCGGCGGCGGCTGCAGCGGCTGCTGTGGCTGGGTTACATCCGGACGCGGACACCGACCCTAGGGAACTGGAGGCATTCGCGGAGAGGTTCAAGCAGAGGAGGATCAAACTGGGAGTCACGCAGGCTGATGTTGGTGAGCATGAATACAGAATTTTTTTTCAAAGTCGAGTATGTATTGACATGTTTCGTCGTGTTGATGCCACTTGGCAATTTGACATCTTGACCGAGTGATCTACTTGATCAAGTATCATTGCGGCGTTGTGTGAAAAGAGAATATTTAATAGATATTTTCTGGTGTCCAGTGGTGAAAAACCAAAAATGAATTAGCACATAAATCGTGCCCTAGCATTGTAAAAAACATTCTAACCTTTTTATGTGCTCAAATGGCTATATTTGGTGAACGATATAAGGTAGCAAAGCTATTCGAAACCTTAAGCTATTTACACCTTTTTTCAAAGCATCTTATATCATTTTTTGAATAAGCCCATTGACTTATTTAAAACAAGATGCGCCTGCCATCTATACCACATCGAAACATGTCAAATATTCAGAGTAATATCTGTTTGCCACAAGTTCATTTTTCGTCATCCAGATTAAACTGCTATGTATGGATGGTGATGCAAAAGCAAATGAACATTTTCCTCTAAATAACATCCCACCGCATCTCATAATTGATCTGTGCGGCATTTTAGCCAGTGAATTGAGTCATACAACATAGTAAAAAATTCTCTAATGAACATTGAAGAATATTAAAGTCATAACTCCGCAGGAAGAGAAATCATAATATCAACCTGAGAGCGTTTAGCAAATGGAAGTGTTGTTTTGAGAATATAAAAGCAAAACTATAAAATCTCCCGCCAAAATTTATTTTCTATTGGAGCATGTAATTTCTTTCGTAACGAAAATCTATCGGCAACTTAAATTAGTTACAATACATCACATTGATTCCAATAATCTGCAGTCTGACAAATACATAAAACAGACCAGACATGTAAAACATTGGTCGCAATATAGCCGAGCATTAAACACATAGAGCGTTTAGAAGCATCTTAATAGTTGCAAGCAGCTACGAAAACTAGATACAGGAGTCTAAACTGCGTAAGAGAATTATTTGAAGCCAATTCTGTCGCCAAGGATGGTGTGACTCTCGGAAATCTGATGGGTGTAGAATGTGGCCCAGAGCGACTGCGCACTGAAAAATGTCAACCTACTACTGCAATATTCGTGTGCATTTCACATACGTTTTGCCACGCTTTGTAGGCTTATTACTCGGTGGTTTATTAATATTATCCAACATTTCTGCTTGCAACTCGTCCGAACTGTCAAAATTCGGTTGCTTACAGTAATGATGACAGCAACAGAGAGAGAGAGAGAGAGAGAGAGAGAGAGAGAGAGAGAGAGAGAGAAAGAGAGAGAGAGAAAGAGAGAGAGAGAGAAAGAGAGAGATGCCACATGCGTAGAACCTGAAATTCATTTGCTGTGCAGTGTACCAACTCACTTCATCGTCCATATTTTTAGCTTCGCCCCGTCCTATATCCAGTCTTCATGCAAGCAACATGCGGCAATATTTTTAGAATGGCTGGACTATATTGCTACACATGCTGACGTGTTTGACATTTCCGACTTCTGTCATATATTGCTGTTAGATTGCTACGTTATTGGAATCCTAATGTAATTAATATAAGTAATACAGGGTGCGCCAAAAGTACTTTTCGCAGACTTCGCACTAGTTTTGGCCGACATGGACGCCCTACAGAGCCTGGAATTCGTTGAATTGTTAATCGTTTTGAGGAAACTGGTTCAGCTGAAGGTCGTAGACCATACCAACAGCTCATACTCGTGAAAACATAGCCGCAGTGAGTGAAAGTCTGCGAGAAGTTCCAAAACCACCTCGACTAGGCACCGTTCGCAACAAATGGGAATTAGTGAGACCACTTTACGCCGGATTTACAAGAATTGAAGCAGACAGACCATCAACAGCGGCGTGTTTTTGTTAATTGGATGCTGGAAAGAGAAGACGGATTTTCGGCCAAAGTGCTCTTTTCTGATGAGGCTCATTTTCACCTCAATGGGTACGTGAATAAGCAAAATTGCAGATTCTGGGAGACTGAAAATCCACATCAATATCATGAACAACCTTTCCATCCTGAAAAAGTGACTGTTTGGTACGGATTATGGGCTGGTGGTATCGTTGGACCACTCTTCTTTGAAGATGCGGAAGAAAAGGCCATTACCGTCAACGGGGAACGTTATCGCGGCATGTTAACAGACTTTTTGTGGCCACAATTGGATCGTATTGGTGCCGACGATTTTTGGTTTCATCAAGACGGAGCAACAGCGCACACATCTCGCCAAACATTCGCCTTATTGCACACGAAATTTCAAGACCGCATAATTTCACGAAATTCAGATGTCGTGCGATTTAACACCTCTTGACTATTTTCTTTGGGGATTTTTGAAAAGAAAAGTGTATGCGAATGGTCTCCGGACAGTTCAAGACCTAAAGCGCAATATACGGACTGAAATTGCAGTCATAGACCCGATTATTCTGGGGAAAGTCATTGAAAATTTTGATGTTCGGATGATGCACCCTGTATAAGCTGCCCTATAATTCATTTTTGCCTGATCTAATAGCCCAACTGAAGAAAAGTTCTGTCAAGTGTATGTGTCTATACTTTGTAGACAATGTTGCCAAGATATAGGTGATATAGGTGATATAGCCGAGCAATATAGACGCGTCATGTGATGTAATACGGTCGTTTCGATAGGGTTATAATATAAATAAGATAAACATTGTTTGTGTTGGTCTTGAGAAATCTTGAACTTCAAATCAACTACCCAGAGCCCCAAGCTTGGCGTTTACTTTAAGCGTGCTCTTAAAGCACTATTGCCAAATAAATGACGGATTTCTTTTCAGGAAAGGCGCTAGCAAACCTGAAACTCCCTGGCGTGGGCGCGCTGTCACAATCCACGATATGCAGGTTTGAATCCCTGACGCTATCCCACAACAATATGATCGCGCTGAAGCCCATTCTGCAGGCGTGGTTGGAAGAAGCTGAGGCGCAGGCGAAGAACAAGAGGAGGGATCCAGATGCGCCTAGCGTTCTTCCTGCAGGTGAGGATTTAGGTACACCACACACTTTTCCTTCATTATTCTACTTACGGTTTGTTCTCACAGCCGACTTAATGATGATTTGTCAACTGACTGCGAAGGATTCCGGAGCTTTATTTTCGACAATTATGTGCTGTTTAATTTGTGAATGCTGGTGATTAGAAAACTAGCAATTATTGCTTCTCTACAACCCCAGTTGTACTTACACTGGTAACTGTAAAATGTTATGCAAGCGCATTATAGAAATAAAGCATCACTCGCTCTAGCAAGTATTCTGATCCCCCGAATTTCTTACGTCAAATAAAACAGACATTAGCCATTTCTGCCTTCTTCTGAGGGAATGGTAGCAAGTAGATTGACCTGATACACACTTTTCCATTTCAGATCCGTGTAAATTTTGAATTCCTTCAAAACCATTGTCAGAAACTGAATTATAATGAAAAGTGAGTGAATCTTAGAAATTTAAAACAAAGTTAACAAATAATTTTACTCTCCACGCCACTAGCGAGGAAGTACTGTAATCTCGAAAATGGAATATTGCGTTTTTTACATGCTATATGACATCTATCTCACGAAAAATCATGTCACTCATTTCCGTCGGCCTGTCTGTCTGTTTGTCCGCTAATCATTGGCGCGTATATAACTTAGAAAGTCAGATTTAGATGAAATTTTCATTATTATGCCAACGACATATAATCTGTGTAGTTTTTGAAAATATGTTCATTGACGAAAAACGAAAAAAAGCAGAGTGTTATAGGGGAGTGGGGAATGGGTATATTTAAATTTTTTGCTGGGAGGGTATCTACAACTATAACTACTAACCCCATTAATTCTACGCGCCTATTAAGTACATATATAATGCACATAGATTTCCCTGTATAGCTGCTCTCAATACTGCGCTAGCCGCTATCGCGAATCTCGGACGAAAATCCACTTGGTGAATTTTTTACCTGAACAGCTCCAGAATAGGTCCTCATCGGCGTGCAATGACGTAACAATTGCTATTACCGGAGCAATATTATTTATTTAATTTATATAACCAGATCCGGTGACAACATTAAGGCTGTAGTTATTTAGGTGTGGAGTATCGATTAGACGTCTACAATTTGAAGGCATTCCCAAGAATGAAGAATGCTATTTTTAAAACCCTTTCCTCAAACTAACTCACCATATTGCATGCCATTATCGTGACGCAAGAGCCAGGAATGCAACGATTGTGTGAAAAAGTTAAAAATCTTCAATATAAACATTCAAAGTTTGTTTAATAAAATGAACCGACTAGAATATTTTTTGGATTACAATATTGATGTGTTAGTTCTATCAGAGCATTGGCTTGATAATGATGAGATTCAAAACGTTGGTCTTGAAACTTCAGTCTGGTAAGTTGTTTCACATGCACTAATCGCATACATTTTTTCCAGAGGAAATGTCTTACATCTGTGTGCTCCAATCCAGTACCTGGTCTCTAGAAATGGTTATTGAACTCACTGCAATATCTTTTATGAAAATATTTTGCATAATCTGTATCTCAATAAAAGTTCTATTGACATATTCTTAGAAAGACTATTTCCTATTGTCTCGTTTGTGACAAGCAACTTTAAATATGTAATATTGGCAGGCGACTTCAACATAGATTATTCTCGAAATGATATTTCAAAAGTACACGTGTGATTAGAAATTTATTTCTGAAACATAGGTTTGATGACATTCAGAAGTGTAATATAAATGACTATTTCCATGATTTTCTAGAAACGTGCTTATGATGTTTCAACATTGCATTTAAACGTAAAATTATTCATAATGAGCTAAACAGTACACTAAATTCTCTAAGTCACTTCAAAAACAAAGATCAGGTGATTGGCCTAGCGTGGCTACGTAAAAAGGTAAAGATATCAATTTGGAAACAAAATTCAAATCTTTAAAAAAAGAGGTTGATAAGAATATTCGTGATGAAAGGATCAGTTACTATCACTCGATAATGAGCAAATCTTCAAACAAACAGAAAACTACTTGGAATATTGTCAATTAAGTAACCATAACCAACCCAACTGATATCGCTAACTTTTTTAGAAAACATGTATCCACTATAATTGGCAAGAAAGTAGCCAACAATCTTATCGTTTTATCGGATTCCTGCACTTCTGATGAAACAGCCAAACAATCAATGTTTTTCTTCCATGTCAATACTGATGACGTTATATTTGTGATCAGTAGCATGCCAGACAAGAAGTCTACAGGGCTGGATGAAACTCCAATCTATTTAGTACAAGAAAATATGGACATCTGCCCCAGTATTAGCAGACACCATCAATAAATAGGTTGCTGTTGGTGAATTTGCAACAGCACTTAAGCTGGCACCGTTAATTATGATATTTAAAAAAGGTGAAAACTACAGGCCAATCGCGCTATTGAGTATTTTCTCGAAAATCATTGAAAAAGCGGTGGCAATGAAAATTGAAAACTACTTTCTTAAATTTGCTATTATTGCATATGCTCAACATGTTTTCAGGGCAGACTACTCAACTGAAACAAGCATTATCGAGTATGTTCAGTATATTTGTGATGAACTTGACTTAGGTAATTACGTAGTGAGTATCCAATTTGACTTGTCTCAAGCCTTTGATTGTGTATGTTCGTAATTTGTGGCTGATAAATGGCAATTTAGCTTTTTAAAGAATAGACAATTTTATGTTACTGTCGCTGATGAATTTAATTTAGATTGGGGCACACCTCAAGGTAGCGCCCTTGGGCCACTCATTTTCTCGATCTCCATAAATGATTTGCCCGCACACTTATCTCACGGAAAATGCAGACGACACAAATATCATTTTAGCCGCCCCATCGCAAGAGCGCCTGCAAGAAAAAATTAATGATTCGGTTAATGAGTTCAATCAATGGTGGTTCAAAAACAGACTAATAATAAATACAACAGAGACCCTTTCAGTTGAATATTTCATGAAATCAAAAAATCCGTAAGATTTTAATTTCAGTCTTCAATGCAATACAGTTGCAACTTCTAAAAATACTGTGTTTTAGGAGTAAGCTTTGATTGCAATTTAAAATGTACAGAGCAAATTGATTCTATATTTAAGAAGCTTGAAAAAAGTTTGTATCTAATACTTATGCTAGGGAAAATGTTAAACACCTCAGCATTAATGGATGTCTACTATGCGTGTGTACACTGTTATTTCATATGGCATTACTGCGTGGAGCCAGGCTAGTGAAATCTCTCGAGTGTTTGTCTTACAAAAAAGAATGATTCGCATTATATTCAAAATACGGTCTAGATCTTCTTGCCGTGAGATATTTGCTAAACACAAAATACTTACAGTAGCATGTATATATACTTATAGACTTTTAACATTTATTTTTCAGCGCAGAAATGATTACCTTAAGCATACTGACCTCCATGCCTACAGCACTCGTAATAAAAATAACATAGTTAGGCATGTGACTTATCATATATTTCATTCAAAATCCCACATAACAGCAGGAATGCGCTTTTTAATTATTAGCTCCGGAGAATAAAAACGTAAGCTCTATAGGGCTTTTCAAAAGACGTTTGCGGAACAACCTATCGGATTGCACTTTTTATGACCTGGGGTAAATTTGTTACATCCCAGCATCCCACAATGCTTTTGATAGATCTTAATGAATAATTTATTACCATGTGTGTTTGTATCATATTGCTTTTTTATGTTCCTATTGTTACTTCTATTGTACTGCATTTTATCAACATTTTAATCTCTATGCACCGACTTATAAAATGTCTACAACGTACATCTAACTGGATAAATAAATGAATCTGAATCTAAATCTGGACGTAAAAATGTAAGTGACAGTTGACAGTCATTATACCAAGGCGTAACGAAGTTGTCATCGATTAAATGAAAAAATTAAACTTACAATACTCTTTCGTCAATTATATTTATTCCATTGCCTGACATGAGCTGTATGGGTTTCTATAGCCTACCAACAGTAAAGATACCAAGACGTAAGAAAGTTGGCTTAGATACATTGTTCATATTCAAAGTCCATAGTCTCAATTTTCCCACATCAACAATACCTTTTACTCACTGATATTCATTCTACTCTACGGCCGTATGTGAGGATGGATTTTTATAGTCAGCGAACAATAAGATATCAGAGCGTACAAAAGTTGACTCAGATGCTATATGTCATGCATATACAATGTCCATTTGTCGAGAATTGTCTGGGAAGTACAGAGTTAACCTACTTGACGCGATTTTTGAAAACAAGATGGTTTGAAGCACACAAAGACGGGGTTCGGAGATTATCTGAAACTGTTTGTTTTATGTTCCTACATTGTTTTTCATATTTCAGATAACATACAACTTTTTATCCAAAATTCGAAAGTTTCTTCCGCATGGAAAGCAAAATAGACACTTTGAATAATGAGTAAGTAGATAATACGCATACTTTGGGTTTCGTTAGTCGGTCGTAAATTCCCCTAAGAGTGTATGACATCTTTATCTGCAAAACTCTGTTCGCCAGATTCCATTAATTACTGCTGTGAGAACAAACCTCAAAAAGCTCTACTTTAGTCAAGGTTATATAGCATCTTGAACTACATATATGTATTAAGTGGATTGTAGATATAGTTCAGGTGGTGTCTTCGCATCTGCTTGGAAGACTATTCCAATTCGGAAAAGGACTGCCTTTAATGAATCTGCATGTTGCTAAGCCCAAGAACAAATTTAAAAAACTGGTTCCTTTCGCACTGGCCTCTGTTTTTTTTTTGATTTATTTTTTTACATTCTGAACAGATAAGGTGTCTTACACCTACAATTATTGATAGTTTTCGAGATATAAACGACATTATCTTTGAAAAAGTGCAAAATATGCCATTTTCGACCCAGAAGAACATGAAAAAATGTCAATGTTGCGATTGTTCACAAAAATACTTCAATCAGCCATCAACAAAATTCATAAGCATTTTAGAGGGTATTGCTATAATACACATTTTGCTTTTTAATTGCTAA